CCCATCTCATTAGCGACTAATGCTCGGAACCCTGCCTGGACTGTTGCTTTAACATCCGATCTGAAAAATTATTTAGAAAACTGAGAATAAACTCACATGCGCGAAAAAAATCACGTCGTCTACTAGTTGAAAAGAACAAGGGAAACAGAATAGAAAGAGTAAGAAAAATGAACCCATTATGTTGTTCTCATACATGTACGCGCATGGCACACCTGAGGGGTAAGTAGAGAACTGTTTCGTGAGGTAGAAAAGGAACTCTTCTGCTAGATAGTTAGCAACGCTCAATTTATTATAGTTGTAAAGATGAAAGAAAACTTTCAGGTCGTTGAGGAGGAAGGTCGGGTATGAGTACAAAATTAGTAAGGCTCGGTTCGTTTCTCAGTAATTATAACGTAACTGTAAGGATTTCTCATGTAATGCTATTGAAATATTCCAGCATTGCCATCTCTTATAGCAACGTTCGTAATATGTATTATGTTCGCATTTTTACTGAAAACTCAGTTTCTCACCATGTACGACACTCAAAAAAGAGGTGAGGTTTTTGCACGCTTCGAAATTTCTATCACAGCTCTAGATAGATCTATCAGGTAGATCTTTTGGATCTTTACGGTAGAGCTCACGCTGACGGTGCTTCCTGGAAAACATAAAACACTGCCGTTGTCGAGTCAGAACCTTTTCAAACTAACGTAACTAAAAAACATCCTGCTTACAATTAAAGGACGAATTCACGCTGAAAAAGCAACCCATTTCAAATTAATTAGGATGGTGAGTGGTACACGAAAGAAGGAAAAACCATGAGAAACGGCCCAGAACCCGAGAAATGGGACCCCTTCCTTGCCCGTTGATTTGCGCATTAACACGTTGACGACAGCGTGACGCGGTAACGCGTCCCACTTTGCGCACCTCGTGGGACATTGTGACGCGGTAACGCGTCCCACCCAAGTCATCCCTTTTTCTTGCGCTTGTGCGACTTATTCCTAAGGTCTTTGTACTCATTCTATAGGTCATACATTAGCATACTTAAAAACCACATGGCTCACAGAAAGGCCAAATATTCTTTAGTTTGGCAGACGTTTTCCAGACCTTACGGATATGTCTTTTCAGTTTTCTTTTCAATAACGTAGACATGTTGATAAAAAGGAATAACAGAAGTGAATACAAACCTATTCGTATGGGAAGATATGTGTTTTTACTGAAACAACCACGTCCAAATTTTTTGGAACCACTAAAGGGAAATTAAGTAAAATTTCCCTTTTCATGGCCTTAACACGTCATTTCGGTCAAACTTCCATTACTGTAACTCCTGATAAGCTAGACAGATCGAAACATCATTGAAAACATTTCATCGCATCTAAGTATTGCGGATTTACAACTTAAAATCCATGGATTTGTATGAGGCGCGGCGGCTGCGCTCGCAAAATCGCTCTTGTCCCACGCGGTGCAAAAGCACAAAACGCGTGTCGCAGACGGTTGATATAAAGCTCTCCCGTTGTGCTCTTCGAACTACGCTCTCTCCGTATCTAGTCCTCCGCCTTGTATGACTGCAGAAGTGATGGAGATGTCGGTGAGCGTACACCGGCAACCGGCCAGACTGAGCTGTGTCTTGAGCACGAGGGTCAAAATCTGCCGACGCGCGTTGTCGGGCCCCATCCGGAAGTCCGCCTAGTATACAATAGCCATTTCGACTTCGTCTGATCTTCGTTCTTATGAATTCGTCCTTTAAGTGAGCTGCTGCACAGCCGTAAACAACGCACCATGGATTCGAAAATCAATCGTGCTCGAGTTTTGATAGGCTTCATGCTGTTTTGTTCTCTCTTTTCCCTTAAGATCTCAGGTTCGATCACTGAAACAAAAAGCTCAAAAAGCTCATCCAGCGCCACCTCTTTCTCATTCATTATAGCAACATTCGGACAACTGAGAATCAGAGGGCAATACACTACAGTGGAGGGAAGGCAAATATTATCCTTTCTCCACATTGAAAGAGATTGAAGAGCACATTGCATTCCATTCTGCTGAATCCTCCATAACAGCGTACATAGGTACATAGTGGCCTCTACACCGACGACATCAGAAGGATTTCCACGGGAATGTGGTAGACGGTTCGAGCTCAACGAGATCTTCGATGGATCGTAGCGTTGTCTGGAGCGCTGATCGGGAGGCGTCGTGCCTATTGAGAGCGACTATCTTCAGAAGGCTATCCTCTTCAGGATACGTGAAGCAGTAAAAGAAGATCCCGGCGGTTGACGGGGACGAGGATTTGGATCGGCCCTTGCACTTGCACAAGACCGTATGACTAGAGAGAAACGAACGGTCTGAATGGCCACTCACTTTCTCGTCTAGTAGTCAGATCCGGGTGTGAGCAAGGGAAGGGCAGGTAGCATTTGTTTGTTGTTTTGCAGTGACGCGACGTCGCATCAAGTTTCCGAAATATTCATGGGATTGCGTACAATTAAATTCCTATAGTTCTTAGAAGGTTTTTCGAAATCAGTCTATCAGCTATGCTTGGCCAGTCTGTAGGATTATGGTCGTAACTGACCAGTCATTCGTACAGCAAAGTATTGCTCGCATTTGATTCTCATTAAAATCATGACGGGTCTAGTCCGGTGCCATTCAGTCGATATCGAAAGTAGAAGGCAGGCTATTCGGCTGGAGCGATTTCAATCTTTAAATTAGCCATTATCAGATAGGTTTTGACTTGATTGAGGGGCTTAGTAGCTCTATCTCGCCGCTGTAGATAGCATGCGGAGGTTCTGCTTCGAGTACAGTGCTTTTTTACAGTTAAACCTCGACAACTGAAAGGAGAACCGAAGCGACGCAAAAAGGTATGACAACGGAGTATTCGCGGCGCTAGACCGCAATGTAGTGTAACTTACTGAAGCTTTTTTTTTCAAGACTCCTTCCGCGATCTCCAAGTGATCACCGAGGGCACTCTGATATCATTTTCTAGTAGCCGAGCTTATATTCACAGAATATCAAAGAAAATTGTCGTTTTTGTTGAATTTAGTAGATCATTTAAATAAAGTTTTGATTATGTAAGTTTATTGTTCGAATGTGAACGGTAACACTAAAAAACTTGGCACATAAAGACATCCCTCGTTCACCCAGATGGAAGCGCCGGACATGGCCCAATGACCCATCTGAATGTATTAGGTACCGGATATCTTAGTGTCGCTTTTCTGAGTTCAGGAAGTTTTGGGGCCGATTACTATGGAAAATCAATATCTCAGAAAGTCCTTTTTGCTCATTAATACTGCGAAATATGTTGCTTATTGTTTTCTATTGTTGGTTCACAATTTAACTTTCCCCCAATTTTTATACTTTTTT